TTTTGAGTTTTCCTTTCCCCACTTTATGTAAACATCCTTCTCATGTTCTTAATTCTACAGAAAGCACTAAAATCAGCACAACTTAAAATTGCACCCACTTTCCAGCCACACCTGACCTGGTTGCAAACCTGCTGTGATTTGACTTTGACGACATGATCAGTAACTGAGCGTTGACTCTGAGGAATGCATTACACCCACTTTGATTTATGTGTTTGTGTGTTCTTGGTGACTTCATCTGAATTGTTCTTTTCATTTAGCACCAATAATGAGACGCAGGAAATAATGATTAACTCAAGAATGAACAAGTGGTGACAGTTGTTGACGTCAGCCGCTGTTGAAGAATGAATGCGCTCGAACTTTAACATGTGGGATTTACTTAAAATGATAGATGTATATTGTCTTGAAGACTGGTAAATCACGTGAGTCCCTGTGGTGTTTATGCAGCCACTGAAACAGTCAGCTCTGTACAAAGCTCTTGGAAAACACTTCACTCTGCGTCTGATTGAGTTACACAGGGGAACACATTTTGAACAGGTGCCCAGAGAACCCCCCTCATACACACATACTCTCTCTCTTTCTCTCTGTCATTGTAACTTGACCCCCATGTCTTCAGTCAGTGTCCCTCACATACTCCAGGAGACTTTGGGTGCCCTGGTTGTGATAGAGCACGCAAAGCTGAACATGCTCAAAACTCCTCTGATAGGAGGTGCGAACGATGCCCCTCAAAGATGATTGAGCTTATCCCACAGCGGTAGCATCCACTTGGAAAAAGACACTTGTTGTAGAGTTGTTAAAATGCCAGTCAGGCAGCGGTGGAGGTGGTCACACTGACACGGGCAGTGAAAAGACTGGCATGTTGCCACTCAGGGATACCCTAACACCTCTCATGCTCTCTGATTGTAACGCTGAATATTTACCCTCCTCAACTGGGTTAACGCTCACTATTCTTGCACTCGATTTTGATTTTCAGGAAAAAAGTATTGCTGCTTTGCATTTCGAACATTTTTAGAGTGTAGGGAATCACAGTGAGTAACACAACTTTGACAAAAATAAAAGTATCATGTAAAACTGCAGCTGAAACAGAAACATCAGGAAGTTTTAACTCATAGAAAAGTGACTCTCTAAAAATTTGGTATTTTCTTCAGCTTCTTTCAAATTGTCTGAACAGAATCCAAGTTCTGACCTGACTAGTTTTGAAGAGAGAAAAAAGTTAGGAAAACAGTCACACTGTGCACTAATCATCGCTATTTCCTACAAAAACAAGAGTAGGACAATGTAGTATAATGGCAGAAGCCTGTTACTGAAGCCTCAGGTAGTGGCGGGTGGTTGCACTACAACTGCAATATTATAATGTTTGACAGGAGTTTTAGGCCTAAATTAAAATAAAGCTCCTATATGGAGTTTTTTTGACATCTAATAAGACTAAAATTCGCATTGCCGCTTTTTATGAAATCCCAAAGCAATCAAGATCATCAGCAACATGATTGTTGATTTTTATATTGTGATTTTTAATACCTGGAACCAGTGTGAGTAGGTATGATGGTGCCAGCTGAGTTCCTCACTAAAGCTTTAACTTGTGGTTTTGACTGATTTACTTTAAAAGAATATTTGGACTTTGAAAAATATGTCATCTCAGGGCTTGATAGTGCGACCATTTCACTCACATTTGTGACTGAATAGTGCGAATTGTAAAATGTATTTAGGGCACATTTGTGCATTAAAAAAAAATTAGCCGGCAACAAATGTTTTTTCATGTAAATACCGTGATAAAGTTAGTTTTAGGTTGGATATTCGACGGACATTCACTGCAGATCTACCGGTGTCCTCTCGCTCTCCATAAGCGGGAATAGCAACAGCAGCGCGGTAAAATCTACTCGGCACCTTTGATGTCAACGTTGGATGTTGAATAAGGGACTGTCAATAAATTACCGGTTGGTATTCTCAGAAAAGGCTGTTTTTCTTCAATAGCTTCCATGTCATGTGACCAATTGACCTTAAATTGATTTCAAATGATAGTACTAAGGTCGGACAATAGACACACCTCTTTATTTCCCTAATTTGTCCTCCAAAAATTTTTTGTGTTAAATTTAAAGGCAAATTTTGAACATTTTCTTCAGTAGCTTCCATGTCCTGTGACCAAAAGACCTAAAATTAATTTAAAAATAATAATACTTATGTCGACCAATAAGACACACCCCTAAAGTTCTTTGTGTGCTCTTTACTTTTTCAACTTAGTAGCAAAAAGTTAGTGTCAAGTCCTGCATCTGAGTATGTTTAGGACCAAATAAATATAAAATATACAACTTTGAAGTATATTTCCATTTATGATTAACTTTGCCCCTAAAAGTAAATTATAACACAATATGCACTGAGCTATTGATTAGGATATAAATACTCCCTGCAACAGCGTCATAAAAGTAGATTTTTATACATCATATTGTAAAATAAGGGAATAACTGAAAGCACAATTCTTCAAAATGAGTCTTTTTTTGGCACAAGGTAAACTTTTTCCCTTAACTACTATTATAAAACAAAATAGGCAATATTATGAATAAAAGTAGAGATGTGCTAATTAATAACAATATAAAAAAATCCATCATGTTTAATCCTATAGCTGTCTTGTGGTAGTTGGTAGAGGGGGGAATCATGTCTTTTTGCCTTTTTGGTTTGTTTATGAATCGCACATGTGCGTCATGGCATTAATTATTTTTGTTTATGTATCTATAACTCTCCTCTACAGTCATGATCTCCTCTCTGCAGGACATGTTCAGTTGGAGAATAAAGCACAGCAGTGCAGGATGTTGCGTCTTTAAGAGTTAAGAAACTTGAAACCGTGTGTTTGCGCAACAATCAGTGCGGCTCCCAGCAGCCGCCAAAGTGTCTAGACTGGCACATGATGGCGGGAATCAACCAATGGCTCCAGAGCTTTCCTCTGGGGCCCCGAGAGCGAGAGAGAGAGAGAGAGAGCGAGAGAGAGAGAAACACGGTGAGAGAGAGTCAAGTCATACTGAATTCAATGGGAGGCGGAGTTGTGTCGATTTCAAAATAAAAGCAGTATGTTTCAGTTACTGTATTACAAGTACATGACAGCAGAGTAATCCAAAACATATTTACTTGTTTATTATTTGGTCACATTTTCACTCTCGTGTAGACAACACAAAACAAAGAGAAGATGGATGAAAACACCACAGAAACACAGTTTCAGTGACTAAAGGTAACACTGTTACTCAGGTATAACCATAGACTGTATACACCATGGACAACTTGGTTCCACCTTCTGCCAGGATACAGATTTGAAGCCGAAAAGTTTTCTCTTCATTTCCTGAAACCAACATTGCGCAGTAGCGTTGTACGCATTCGGCGGGAGTGTCGCCGAGAGTCGCTGTGATGATGCACCCCCCCAGGTGAGCTACACAATCCTTGTACACCCATAGGCTGTATCAAGTGTCAATCATAGAAAACATGAACCCCCTAATAACTTTTAAAAATGAAGCTGCACAGAAAAAAGAGGACTTACAGTAACTACATGTCAACATCACAACCAGGAGAGAGAAAAATTCATGTTCTGTGTAATAAATTTCTAAGGTTCGTCCACAGCCCCATAAGCTTTGCTGGCGGAGGCGGGATTCATGACCTATACTGCAGCCCGTCACCAGAGGGTGCTGTTCTCGGAGTGGCTTCACCCAGCGAGGAGACGACGAAGAAGACGGCGTCCATTCTGTATACAGTCAATGGGTTCAACACTTAAGGCACAATAGCATTACCCAATTTGAACAGTCTATGGCAGACTACAGACTGACAAATGTTTGATAGACAGTGCCTCCATTTAATAACAGACATTCATCAATATATCTGCTGCCTGATCCCAACTCTTCAAAACACTTGCAGCCAACATGTGTAAAGCTTTTACATTTATACATGCATATAGTTAATGTGTCACCTTTTTGGACAACAAAAATATCAGCAGAATTCATACAAATAAACTTTTAAAGCTATTATCTATCAGTACACATGTCTCTGTGTAATCTTGTGCACCCCTGATTCACTGGGCTAATTTGAGGCCAATTCATTCATCATCATCATTACCTTTTTCTTCTTTTCCCTCTTCTTCACTCTCAGATGAATACCTTCTCCTTATTTTCATCCTTGTCAAACTGTTATTTGAGTATTATAAAATAATATAAGAATATGAGTGTGTGCCATCAGGTGGGGGGGGGGGGGGGTCTGTCATTGCAAACTTTGCACATTGTCACTGCTGTAGTTTCCCAGTATTCAGTAACAGGGACCCCCAGCCAATGCCCAGTTCTCTGCCCTCCCTGTTGACTAGTGGCGCCTCTGTAAACATTCATTACTGCGTTTGAGTGTGTATGTTCATTATTAAAAGTTTTGACGCTCAAGTTGAGGCTTTCTTTGTTCCTAGAATCTTTAAAGAAGTCGGCAGAAGATCATTTCAGTGTAAAGCCCCATCAGATTGGAATAACCTCTATCTTTGCGTTCTATCATTTCAGAATGGCACTATACTCTCATCTCAGAACAAATCGCTCATGTTTCTGATTTTTTTCTTTACTTCTTTGCATTCATGTTCTCATCATTTTTCCTTCTTAATAAGTTTTGTCTACTTTGTATGTTAGGCGTATGTTTGTTGGGGTTGTGTGTGGCAGTAGGGTGAGTGAGATGTCTGTATTTGTTATATGTGATGTATGTTAATGTATTGTAATGTGTCCTGAGTTCTATGTATGTATGTTTGTTTGTTTGTTTAGGGATTTAGGGACCCCTTTGAAAATGAGATGCTACATCTTAAGGGGCAATCCTTCAATAAATTCAAATTCAAGTGTTCACCTGCAATTTGACGTTCGATCAGTCTTTTATTTTGAAAGTCTGAGTTTGGAGCCTCGGTGCACTCTCTCTGACTTGACTCTTGTGGTTGTGCAGAAGCATGTGTGCGTGTTTCTGTGTGAGTTTGTGTGTGTATGTGTTTGTGTGTGTGTGTGCGTCCAGAGAGGACTTCGAGGGGAGTGGAGAGTGGAGTAATTCCAGCTCTGTTTAAAACAACTTCTCAGCACGGAATCCATCCCGGAGTTTGGCACTCAAGTCCCCGAACATCTCCGCTTTTCCCGGGACGCTGCAGCGTGATTCCTGTTCCCAGCACGGCGACTGTAATCATCGGAATTCCAGCGCTGTGAGGATTTATTCCGGGGTGAAGGGGGGATTTTACGGATCGAGGGGTTCACGGAGCTGGTGAAGAAACTGTGGAAAAGTTTGAGAGTTCTGTTCCCGGTGGCGTTTTTTTTTTTGTGAATGTAAACTGAACCTGTTCTCCGGGGGCCTAACTATGGTTTGTGGATTGTGTTCGGGATCTCCAGAGTGTTGGGGAGTTGAAGGCTTTGTGAGAGAGCTGGCAAAAGTTGAGGCTTAATTGAGTTGGCGACAGCAGGTCACTGAGCAGTGACTGTGTGGAGCCTGCTCCCTCTGCAGACTTTGGTTATGTTTTACGCAGCGCATGGTTGAATATCGCTCGCTAATGCTGCGAGAGAGCCACGAAACGGTGACCACCGGCTGCGCATGTTGTGCGCACCGTGCACAGACCCCTAGTCCTGCGCAGAGAAGAGTGTAAATCGATGTGGCATCTCCCGGGACCCGGACGGGACCCACAGGACGCGCACAAAACTGTCTAGGTTGTCGTATGTTCAAGTCGAGACGCTCAGGTCTTGTACGGCGACTCTGGAGAAGCCGTCTGGTCACCGAGAGCGACGGGCGGGATGGAGGCAGAAGAGGTGAGGGAGGAAGGCTCTGTCCGTGTGGCAGACACTCAGGAAAGCTCCACAGACACGAGCAGCGGTCGGTGACACAGACTGACCCGGCTCTGGGACTCACGGGGGAGGCTGGAGAGCTGACGGAGAGCGCGGAGAGGGAGGAAGAGGAGCAGCCGGACGATGACCGGGGTGCCATGTGCGTCCAGGAGCGCAGAGGCTACCACAGAGAGCAGGAGGGAGACAGTCGGACGGTGACGTGTTGTTTGTTTGGGGAATGGGATCTCAGACCTCGGAGCCCTTATTGGGCCCCGAGAAAAGACGGAGGGGGCTCTTGTCAGTGCGCACCGAGGCATGCGGGGCTGGAGGAGGAACTGGCGAGCACTGCTCATGCGTTTCTGAAAAGACTGAAGGAGAGGTCTCTGGACACGCTGCTGAAGGTGGTGGAGGCCAGAGGAGGAATAAACAGCGAGTGTGTGATGGTGCCGAGCGCGGAGCTGCGGCTCGGGGCTCATCTCATCTCTCCACAGTCTCTCATGTGTAAGGTGTTCCGCTGGAGCGACCTGCCGCTCTCAGCGTGGCTCAAAACACTGAGCCACTGCCAGAGCTTTGGCGCAGAGGACAGCGCAAAGGTGTGCTGCAACCCCTACCACTACAGCCGCCTGTGTGGGCCAGGTAAGGACCAAAACATTGTTGGGGGCGGGGTGCTACAATACACTTCACCTCTTTATAAAGGACTTAATAAGAGGTGGAAGTAAATGAAATCCTGCCACTCTTCCTTGAAATTAAACATCACTGATATCAAACCAGTATTTGGGACACCTCCAAGAACCCCACTAGGTCCACACTCAGAGTTGAAGGCCTTGCCAAGTCAAAGTGTCATAAAAGTGAAGTTATTCATGAACTTTCCTAGACTTCCTCAGAGATTGGTTGACCACATATAAAGTAAAATCTAGCTTGAAATAAAGAATTGATGAAAGACAACACTGCATCTGAAGATTGAAGTTTTAAAAAGCTCACATAAAGATCCTATCAGTTATTTTTTTATCCCTAATACAGTCATCTCCTCTCTGCTGGCCTGTGAGCACAATCACATTAAAGTACAAAGTTCAACTCTTAAACCTCTTGGGAATGAAACCCAGTGTCTCTCCTCTCATGTTTTACTGCCTGTCCAACTCTTTTACAATATTTTCAAACTCCAGCTTTTACTTCGGTGAAACATTACTTTGATTTCCTCTCCACATTCCTAACACATTACACACTTTATTTAAATTCGAGCAAAAACTTTGCTGCTTCCCACATCATCCAATTGAAGGTCGCTCTCAAGTTGCACTTAGGCTCTTTTTTCTCTGACAAGGAGGTCCTCCTCTTGTTATTTAGGTGAAGGAGTGCCGATAATATACAGTTTGCATAGTGCTGGCGCCAGACTGACTCGCTGGGTATCTGACTGACTGAGGACTCCGGCAATTACTGGCTCTGCTCTTAAAGGGGCCGCAGCCACAAAGCAGGTCCACTGTGGACTGAAGGGACTATCCCAGCAGCAGCAGCAGCAAGCAGCAGTATTACTGTGTTTACAGGGCTGTTTTTACCCAGGAGTCATCCTCAGTCTGCGTGAATGAAATGTCTCTGCTGAAATTTAAGTCTCTCTTTCTGGAGGGAATGAATTATGGGCATAGTTTTGACTCAGTTGTACAAAGTTTAAAATAAAACCAAACATGATTATACACAGTATTGTGCAAAACATGGTCCTTTTATGTTGTGTGCAAACCCTCTATGAGTGTGTTGCTTCAAAAGAAAAAGATCGACCGCAGGTGAAAGAGTTTTATTGTTAGATATTTTAGCCCAGAGTCAAAGATCTCAAACATCAAGTACAGAGTTTCTACATTACTTAAGATTATCTACATTATTCAGTGTTAAAATGTTGTAAAATGGAAGTAAAAGACTCTGCTAATTCATTTTTCATGGCTGTATTTGATGTTATTTTTAAAGATAAGCTGATGAAGATAACTTGCCCAGAATCAGGAGAGTGTTGATTTTAGTACAATGTAAGTTTTGTTTTCAATACCGTGTAAAAATCCGGATTGAGGGTGTAATGGTTGACTTGAAGAGTGAGTATGTGTTTTATTTGATCAAGGTTAGACTGGAGGCCATTAAATAATTTTAGTAATGGTGATCCACAAACTCTGGTGTTAGTGTCCTTTAGTTACCCTCTTTGATCTTAAACTGTGCGAAAAAGGGAAGCTCTTTTCCTAGATGGGAACAGGGTTTGGTACTTCACAGCAAAAAGACAAAACTAAACTAAGAGTTTTTGTAGTAGGGAAGTATAGATGTTCACCTTTGATCATTTCGTGCATTGATTACATGTGACAGTTGATAAATTGAGATGTAGAATCCACAGCCTTTAATTTAACCTTGACTTTTTTTGCTTGTATTTCCAGAATCGCCTCCTCCCCCATACTCTCTGTCCCGTTCCGAAGAACACAAGCCACTGGGTGAGTTTGGAAAAAATGTCCCCAACACACCCACACATGAACAAAACTAGTAAATGACAAGAGGGTGTCGTCACCCTCATATTTTTAGACTGGAAACAGAGATGCTGGAAAAGCTGCTTGCATTAAAAGTGACACGTAGGCTTTACCTGTGCTCACCTTCTCTTTTCATGAGCATGACATCGTAAGTCACAAGCATGTGAGTGTCCTCCACGCAAACAGACAGTCTGCTACACAATTTTCAAGTTACAGAACAAATTAAAGGAATCTAGAAACAGAGATTACTTTACATGATTGTTGGATTAATTCTTGTCAAATTTCAATCTGTATCTCACCTCTCTGTTTTGTTTTTGCCTCTTCTTCATTTCCCAGACTCGTCTCTGTCTTACACTGAAACTGTGCCCCCCCTTCCCTCCAGTTCGCCTCACATTACGCCAAGAGACTACACAGGTGAGTTACCTGAATCAGTACTGCGGGAGCATGTGAACATCGTGTCGGAGTAGAAGTTTGTTTCTGGAGGGATCAGATGTTGAGAGTGGGTTTGTTTTCCTGAAGAATGAGCAAATAAGTTTGGAAGCACAAATGGAAAAAGTTTTCGAGCTGCACGAGTGTGTTTGCTCTTACAGGCATGCAAACACTTGTAGCGTGCATCCTCTCTAATTTTTTGCATAGAGGAGTGAATTACATTTGCTGCTGCTGTTTTGATGTTGTGTTTTCCTTCCTATTTTCAAAGGCCGTTACGAACAAACAAAACTTTTCTGCATAAAGCTTCTTTTGTCAGAGAGGCATGGAGGGCTCGGTGGGGGTCTGGGGTCTCTCGCTATCTAGATGCCACTGCAGTGTAGTCTTTCTGTCTCTCTTTCCCTGTCTCTCTCTCTCTCTCTCTCTCTCCCCGTGCTTTCTCCGCTGCAAAATATTTCACTGGGATGAAGCTGCAATAAGATCCCTGTGCATACTCCCAATCCCCTCTGCCTCTGCAAGCACCCATCCCCCTCTTTCCCTCTTTCTTCCCTCAAATCCCTCCATTCCTCTCGGCAATTGAGCAGTGGAAAGAGGCTGGCATTTTGGGGGCGGGGGAGCCAAGCGGCTCTGATGAGGCAGAGGTGTAGAGTTTTGTGCGTGTGTGTGTGTATGTGGAAAGAGGGGGGGGGGCTGAGGACAGCGTTTGGACAGGAAACAGCCCCCTCTAGATGATGAAACTGGAGCTTTATTTGTTTACGTGCTGGGGTCGGGTGGAGAGGTCCTCGCTGCGTTAGAAGAAACCCACAAACCCACTCGATCAAGCCTCCCCGGGCTAAGTTGTGGACGGTGTTGAAAGGTGAATGGGCACCTATAAAGTCTGTGTTGTGTCGTCGCAGCGTCACTGAGCTGTCTGAAGAGCCAGCAGAGCTCCAGTTCGGACTTCTCAAGTTTGTTTATCTGCCATGTCCTGAGAAAAACTTAAGCTCTTTTTTTTTTTGTTAGAGTTGGTGTTTATAAAAGTTTATTGAGATGTTATGTATTTTTTCCATGCTGAAGGGCAGGGCCGTAGCTAACATTTAAGAAACACTGATGTCACAAGCCCTCCCAGCAGCCTACACTCCTCACTTCTTTTAGATGAATATGTCCTGGGATATTTTTTCTAAAAGGCGATACTGCAATTACTCAAATAGTACTTTCTTTTAATTGTCTGAATAAATTCATCAACTTTTTCAAAACTTTTCAAGACTGTCAGGATTCAAATTTTTGCTAAATTTTAAGTTCTTAGCGTAAGACTTTACAAATTCATACTTTGATATAAAAAAAGATCGTTATTTGCAACATTTACCCTCCCACTGAGCATTTTAAGCAGTTTTTTTCTGGGATGAATAATCATCCTCTGTCCTCGTGAAACCAACAAGAAAATGACCAAAAGTTAAACGAAACTTTGGAGTTGATTTGTATTAAAGGACTCAAAAGTCTTTGTAACAGTGACGGTCTGTCCAACATGACACCGCACCAGCGTCTTTCTCAAGTTCTGACTCTAACAGAGGTCCAGAAGCAGAACCACTCTGCCCCGCTGTTACGCCTCTATGTGTTCCGCACCTTAGTCCCAGAGGCATAGATATCCCACCTTGAAATAGTGAGAGCCACTCCTGTGTCTTTGTCCAAAAGTCATCCAAAGTCTACCCGCTTACCCTTACAAATTAATCAGTCGTATAATTTTACTTTGTGGTTTGATTGTTCGCCATGATGGTTATTGATAGGGGGTTTCTCTTAGTGCCTGTGGCCTAACATTAGTAGAAATTCATCAGTTTCCTCGGTTGATGTGTTCTGTTGAGCGTTGGGCAGAGTGTGTTTGTGTGTGGTCTCTGATCCCCTGCCCCCCACACCAGAACGCTGGAGCCGAGAACCAGAGCTCAGGCCAAGAGCATGAGCAGCACAGAGAGACTTGGCAAAACAGAAGCAGTGAAGAAAAAAAAAAAAAGAAAACCCCTGCTTGTAGCTTTTGTTTTAAACTTTTACAGGTTATCTGGCTCCTCTTTCTGAGCGTGGGCTGGTTTAATAACAGGAAATAAGCTGAACATGAAACTGGTATCAAAGAATTGTCTGCAGCTTATAGAGGCCCTTGATGTTTGTTAGCTCTTGAAAGAGTGTAAATGAGTCTTTTTTTGTGCAGGTGATCCTTTGGCAGATCATCTAAAGCCTGTGATGTTTTCTTTAGAACAAATACAAGCATTGAACTTGTTCCCCGCCACTTCAGCATCTTTTTTATTCCTTTTAAAACCAGCTATGTGTTCTGGCTTTAAGGGGGAGAAAGAAAGGCTCCAGCAGGGTGTGGTCTATACATACCTTTGCCCCGGCCTCTTTTATCATTCAATCAGTTAACGTTCCCTTTAAACCGCAGCAGCAGTCCTGCTTTGAAAAGGGAAATGTCTACTGGAAGTTTAGTAGACTTATATCTGCTCAGACTGTCCCTCTGTGACTCCAACAAAACGTGTCATTCAGCTGCTTATTGTCAGCCTATGCGCTTGTGTGTGCGTGTGTGAGTGTCTAGTGTGTGTGTGTGTGACAGGGAGGCAGAGAGGGAGGAATTTCTGTCTGACTCAGTGATAAGATCGTCTCGGAGTACTCACATAGGGGTTCTATCAGGACAAAAACACACACACGCACAGATGCACATGGATAAACACACTTCACCAATCACGCGATTTGTTGGACGGGAGGCAAAGTTCTGTTTATTTTTTACCCTCATAATTGATGTATAACTAAAAATAACATGTCAGCGGTATGATGTATTTCTGAAAGCTCAGGCCCGGTTATACATTATTGGATTATCTGCCGCATTCTCCACTATTTGCCTCAATTTATCAGACTGAGAATTTTGTTAGTCAAACCAGATTTGACCGTAAAATACAAACATTTGTCTTCTTTTGTACCTCCTTTTTCTGCGTTACGATCCAAACTCCTGTTTCAGCCTTTATCAGTCTCAGCTTTTGTTCTTGAAAAGCACATTTCTGGATTTCCACAACAGCTGACTGAAGAGCATTTAAGGCAACTGCTATTCAAGTTTGTCACATAAATATAACATCGATATTTTTGAACCATTATAAACTGGAGAAGAGGATTTTTTCTCAAACAATGAGCTTAGGATAACGGCAGCTCAGCTCGTAGCCCCCGAAAAAGGTTGGAATTATGAATGTGAATCTTTATGAGAGTTTTTATTAAATTAAAGCATCTGTAAGGAGTTTTTGATTAGGTATGAAACAGACTGAATTGAACAGTGATGCATCTTAATAATGTACAAAAGCAAAAAAAAAGACCTTCAGTGGCAAGATCGTCAGTTTCTATAGTTTAATTTTAATGAGAGAACTAATAAGAGGAGATTTTTGTCAGTTCGAACCATTTGTATCAGGACAAGAAGAAATCAGCAACAAAAAAGGGTTAAAACTTTGTCCACAGGGGGCGCCTAAGTCAACAGAGACAGAGAGATCCTCACAGTAGCTTTAAGTTACCAGGTGCATCGTAGGGCACTGGTTTAACTCCGCATTTAGATCATGTGCCCTCTTTTCAGAGTCTTTAGTCATGTAAATCAGCTACTAAGCAGCCTTCTACCCCATGTCATTTTCTACGATCGCTTCCCAATTCTTGACTCTATCCACAGTCCTGTCTCTAAAATACAGAAAAAATGAACTGTTAAAAAGTTACAAGTCTGTCTGTTCTTGAAAAAAAAGAGGTTTTCTCTCCACTAAAATTTAAACCTAAACAGATGGAAACAGGTGGTAGCTCATCTTCCAGACTCTCCTGAAACCCTTTAAATGTACCAAATGGGAGCGACTGCTAATGTGAAGTCGATCTTAAGATTGGGAATAGACTTTTGCTAATGATTTGAAAACCATACCATATTTATCAATTTAGTTACAACTTTTTGCCTGTTTATGATTTGAATAAAGACAGAATATACAGTATCTGACCTGCTCCTGACACTTTTAGCCCACACTGGACCAGAGATAAACTGTTTAATCAGGCCAATTCATGGCATGCTGACAATATGGGCGTCATCTTGGCATTATCCCTCACAAAGGCTGATATCAATTGACTTTTTTTGTGACTGAAAACACATTTTTCTCATCACCCATTAACAGCATATCAAATCTACAACACCCACTGGCTTGCATGTTAATTTAAATTCATTTATGATGTGTATTAAAACAATTTCAGATTGCTGGATAGAAATCCAAAATTTCATTGTGGCAATATTTTCTGAGCCAAATACTGATGTCATCCACATTTATTTGATAAAGTATAAAAGTTCAGTAACTTAGTTTTTTCTTTGTTGGTGTTATTTAATGATCGTATTTTGTCACATGCAAAAAAATACATATATTGAATATATTGAATTTGAAAACATGTAAACTCAGTGTAGTGACAGATGTAACTTTATACACCTCTTCAAAGGAAAAACTTTGTGTTTTTTCCAAAATGATACAGACCTCCACAGTCCCTCTGCTTTACTAACACACACCTGATCCCCTTTGCTCTCTATCTGTTTTGCTGCAGATGTCTGTCCTTCACTCTTAGTCAATAATCTCTGCAAGTCACTTGATTGTGGGAAAGCCCAAATTGTGAATCCTGATTTACTTCTCTGACATCTCACTGTGCGATTGTTGTGTTTATGCAGCATCGCTTATATTGCCCCATGACCTCATGTCAAACATTTGTCCACCTTGTTGTCATTAGCGCGAGGCTTTCAAACATGTGGAAGCAAGTAAAGCAATGATACCTAATGGACATTAGTGTGGCCTGGATGCACTGAAGTAAGACAAGAAGACTGCTCCCTCTCTGCCCTCAGTAATCATATTTTGGTGGCTTGTTTGCTTAAGCAGAGCGAGGTATCAGCCAAACATCCTGTCTCAAAGCCCTGTCTGCACTCGCTGCAGCATTAACCCCATGAATCGGCCCTTTGACTGATGGGGCACGGCCCAGGAATGTTGGGAAATTGGGAAGGTGAGGGGGGGAGCGGGGTCTCAGAGTGAAAGAGGTGGGAGGGGGTAAGGGGGTCTGACTCTGGAGAGTGACATCTGATACATGTTTGAACATATCGCCGTTAATACTCAAGAAACACGGAGTGGAGCCGACATTCTTGGCAGAGTGGGAGACAGTTTTAAGAGTGTGAGAGTAGCATGCTGTTTTTGTGAGTTTAGTGCAGAGAGTGTGAAGCTTTCCTGGTCAGTCCTGGTTCACACAGTGGGACAAAGAATTGGAAAATATCTGCTCCGCCAGTCACTAGTGTGGATTTGACTCACAGGAGCGTGAAAACTTGTGTCAAAGTCTTGAGTTGTAAGAGTGCGAAAACAGAGCGTTAAGAGAGGCATTTTGCTGCATTCAGAGCGAATCAGTTTAAGTCTAAGTCTGTCCAGGTCCTCTCAGTGACCTGAACCTCCAGCCTGTTTGTTGGCACGCTTACAACACTTGCTCTTATGCCTGACTGAGACACATTAGACTATGGAATTCAACATCAAGTGCTGGCCCATTAACCATTTGCCATTTCCTCACATATTTTCCATCACGACTCCTTTTGCATGAAGGGTATGCAGCTTAAAACCCAGTGCACAACTCACTCATAGTTTTTTTTTCCTTTTTTTGGGAGGTTGGTCATTTCTTTTGGAGTCTTTTAGCAAGTTTTGCATTTTTCAACATTTGAGGCAGAATTCCAGAGTCTTGAAACTTCTTTGCAGCTGTTTTTCCAGGGAAATTAAGGGTTAGTATTCGTGATTTGTAATAGCAAATCGTTTTAACTTCATAGAGTGTGCTGAGTAGTGTTTTCTGTCAACATAATGAAGAAATGCACTTAGTTCCAACAGGGTTATAAGTTCAAGTTGTGTCACCATGGTGATCTAGCCAAGTTAAAAGTCAGCTGAACACTCTTGGTTAAAGCTCTACAGAGCCGATTTAGCCTTTAATCTCGCTTACAGAAACCTGATTGGTTCAAAACTTTGTGTTTAGGACAATTGAGCGAGTTTCATTTGTTTGTTTCTGCATGGCACAGCACTTCCCAAATCCACACTCATCTCCTGTGGATGTCTCATTAGACTTCATATAAGCTACATAAATTTACATTATTTGATTGTTATTTTCTGAAGTTTTCTTTTGAGGAAGTTTCTTATAGGTTCTTGCGTCTGCATGAGTTTTTTCATGGTGTAGTTGCAACATCCTCTTGTCCATCTGTCTCATTTTGCTCAGTATGCAGCCAGCTATCTGTGTGTTTATTGACATATGTTGTAGGTGTGAATATTTTGAGATATTTTATAAGAAATGACTTTAAATCCACAGCCTTGAACCTCTAAGGGATCTCTATGGATTAGGAAGTTTGACACATCAGAAACAATCCTGATCATCATGTAGGGATTTTCTCACTTAATTCTGAACATTGTTTTGCGTGTCTGAAGTTCGCTCGCTTTTCCTCCACTTGTCATATTTACTCTTAAAGCCTCTACTGTTTGTTGTACACACATTTTTCTGTCTCTTCCCCTTTCTCTCTCTCTCTCTCTCCCTCTGTGCCTCCTCTCTTTCAGCCCATGTAGTCAGGCCATCACAATTTAAAATAAGGTTTAAATTACAGGACTGGCTGTGGCTTTCCGTTGTTCCCTCAGAGTTTTTGCCAACCCGCAATTTGGCTTTTAATGGAATCCTGCCATGCTGCTGAACCTAAAGATTCTTTGCAGATGTCGAAAGACTCTGACTCTGTGAGATGTTTTAGGAAAGTGTCGCCTGAGCTGTGAGCTCTGAGTGTGTAGTGCTGAGTTAAGAGTGAAGAAAGAAACATTTACAGGAGTTTTTTAAGGTGATGTAGCTGCGTGCGGTTGGTGAGAAAGAAAAAAAAGTGTGGAGTCGAGAGTCTGAGGAGATTTTTATGGACATATTTATATGTGCAAACACTCTTTTTGTTTCCTTCACCTTTCAGTCACTGGTCTAAAAACTGCAAACTCAGGAGTTCATGTTTGGTACTTTCCAACTAAGTTATACCTTTTATTGAATCTCTGGAAGAGTTGCTGAAAGCTTTGAGTTTTGCTTGTATTGAGAACAGTAGAGGGTTCTTGCTAGTAGTAACTTTTAAGTTTGTGTCAGCTTTGGCAACCCAGTGTTTTGGCAGTTTTTGCTGATGTTGTCCTGTATACTTGTGTTTTTTTTTCCAAACAGAAAATCCAGATCTCAACCACAAATTTTCTTCTTTGGCATCAGTGATGAATTCTGTCTGTTTTGAGTCCAGCTTTAAGTCGAGTTTCCCTAGAAAGCGTGCATGTTGTATTGTGTCAGCAGCACCAAACACTCTGAAGCTGATCCACGTTGTTCTAGTCAGTGCTGGTGTTTTCAAAGAGAGTCTGTCTTCTGTCTTCTTTGCTCCAGCTCACTTAGGATATGAGCTCTCTATTTTCAACAGAACTCATGTACAACATTCATCAAAAAGAAAGGTATCATAACCTGTTGCTAGCGTGAAGTTCCCTGCATGATCTTGATAATCCTGCAAGATCTTGGGCAGGTCTTGCAGGGTTCCAACAAGGCAAGGTGTGCATTGTTAGACCAAGTGAAATCGTGCTGATGGGTAATACCCTTGGATCCTGAATATAAGACTACTCACAGGAGCTTTTAGTCTGATGCTAACATTACCAAATACTCAGGCTTAGCTTTAACAGACTTTGTGCTGATATACACATTTTCATCAATCCATACAAAAGAATTTTCAATAGTTCTTCGTCATGACTAGGGCTGGGCGATGAAATGATAACGATAGATATAGAAAATTAATTTCTCTCAATATCAATATAAAACATGGTCAGTATGCTTTTCAACAGTCCGCATTCTGCCATGTTTTGGTAGACTATACCACCGGACATGAAGCAGAGTAATGTGAACTGCAAATTATGTCGAGTACATGTTCTTGTAAAACATGTACTCGACATAAATGTTTACCTCAAATCTTTTTTACCACCTGTAGCAGTGCCACGCGGCAGAGCACACGAAATGCTAAAGGTTGCAAACCCTGCGTGGAGCAAGGAACCCATGGCACCTATGCAGCTGAAACAGCCGACCATTCAGTCCACTCTCTCTAGCGCCATGCCTTAAGACGAAACGTCGAAGAGACACAAAGACCTCACAGATGCAGTAGCTTATTGTATATCGAAAAACATGCTACCAATAAGCACTGTTAAATTACATTTTTATACCATGATATATATCGATATTGACTGATATGAAAAAATATATTGCGATAAACTTTTTCACATATCGCCCAGCCCTACTCATGACTGATTAAATGACTTAGTACCATGTTAAAGGAGGAGGCGAACAGTAACTAAAAGTCCATCAGATGCTAAAATTCCCCTCAGATCTACAATATTGTTTTCCCTGAAATGTAACCTGTTTAGTTTAGTTTCAGCTCTCCTATGCTGTCGTTTTCCAGTCAGGCGAGGTAGCTGCTTACGACAAGACAAAATCTTTTTCTTGAACTGAGAGCTATGTGCACAGTCTTCACGAAGAGACAAAGTGGCCAGGTTAGCTGCCAGCCAGTAAACACTTCAACTATTTGGAGGCAGAAGTTCAAGATTTTTAAAACTTCTGCAGACCCAAAGCGAACTGAAAGAGAATAAATGTCGGCTCTGTTTAATCACATTTGCCAAATAAACTCATTAATGTCTGAAACTATGTCAAGTTATAATGTTTCACTCCCAAATGAAAGCATACCTAATGTATGACAATCATACATGTGGTAATGCAAAATGTGTTTGCACTTGTTATTATACCCACTCCCCGAGTCGAGCTACTAAATCATATCAGGTTTTTACATTCCTTGTGTCCCCCCTGCCTGTGTGAATTATGTCTAGTGATTGTGTATTGTATTAGTCCTGTTTTCCTATAAATGTGTTTCACAGTCTGATAATTAAGTTTGAGGAGGAATTTCATAATTCATAGTGGAACAATTGGATCTATTCCACCTCTGATTGTGCGTAATTATGTTGTGAGGAGTGAAGGCCATATAGTGGGACCACGTTAGGGCTCAATGAGAGACTTGTCAACTTGACCCCTGTAACTGGCTGAGCGGGGGGAGGAAGTGTTGAGGAAGAGGGCCTGGCCAGGAATGTGTTGGGAGGGGAGGCCTGTCAACCGCAGAGCTCTGCTCCTCTGTGTCTGCTTATTAAGAGATTCAAAGCCAAACTTTATTTAACTTGTGCAAAACCAAAGGATAGTTTTTCTTAAAGCTACAGTGTTGATATCCTAGTCTTGTCTGTTGTTTGGGCTTGATTTGCAGTTTTTTTGCAGCATCACAATCTGTGTTTGTGTCTGTCTTTGTAGTTACAAACAAACAGGTAATTTCTGCAAAACAGTGTTGGAGAACCGTGCTGCTGTCCTGCAACAGGAGCAGGCTAAAGACTGAGATAAAAACTCCCTTATCAAAAATTATCAGCTGAGTAGCTCGTACTAATCTAGCAAAGGTATTTCCAGTAAAATCTCTGACTTTGATGTGCTTTTTCTCACCACTCTCTAGCAAATCATTTGAGAAACACACGTGATTAGATAAGGCATTGCAAGAATGCACGACAATTGATAAAACGATCTGCGTTAACACAGGTTCGACAACAGACAAGACAAAGCGCCGACATGCCAAACACTAAATCACCACGGACTGTTGCTGCTGTGACACCTTAATATACAGCAGAAGTATAATTTAGACTCCAGTCCCACCCTCCTCCTGCATGGCTGGTTAACTAGCACCTAAACAAATGCAAACATTGCACTGAAACTGAGAACAAGAAGAAAACTCATAAAGATTTACAGATAAGACCTTCGTATTTGCCTTGAGACTAAACTCATTCTGTAGCTTGTTGCAAATCATGCGGCTAACAGAGTCCTAAAGAAAAATTTTGTTCTTGATTATTTTTTAATCTAACCCTTATTCACTGTGCACATCTGATGTGCAGCATTATTTATGTGCAATGCTACTCATGATGCATGGTGCAATAACTTTCATCTTCATTCCTGTAATGTAGAAAAATACACAAGATCTTGCAGTGATAAACCCTGCACTGCATGCACATATTTTCTCATCCTTTTTTCTCTCATTTACCTCCTCCCTAGCAATGATGGTTGTAGTAGATAAAACAACAATTGTGGAGTAAACTTAAATTTATACTCGTGCCCTTTTCTGATACCCAAAACCAAAAAAAGATCTTTTTATGCCTGAAAGTGTTGCTAGGGGGAAGGTGAAGAATTGGTCCCATTTTTATCAGTTGCTCATAAAATGCTCGTAATAAATGATGCATGTGACCATCAGCGGGAGCCAGCGGGACAAGATTTTTTGCCAATAATCATTGCTAAAACGTAGAAGACAAGACGAGCAAATACTGCGTTGACCACAGGACACACGAAAAATTGATCCGATTCTATTAGGACTACTGTGTCCCTCAGGAGCAAGTTTCATTGGTCCACATCATACTTGCACATACTTCTGGTTTTGTTAAATTCAAACAAAAACACTGTTGTTGTTGTTTTACTTTTGCTTATAATTTTTTAGAAGTCTAACATTAGGAGAGGGCCAATAACATGCAACCACAAGAAACACCTGACAGCAAGGACTGCATTTGTTTACTGCTGTTCTCTATAGAGATGCACCGATCTGCTTTTTTTCACCTCCAATACTGATACAGATATTTTAGTATCGGCCGATACCGATCCAACTCCGATTCAGAAAAGCCGCGCTGAATTACCTTTTGTTGTAACCTGAAGTTTTACCACTGCCCATCGGAACATTTACTGCGCAGATATTGCAAGTGGCGGTCGAGCTTGTAGGCTGAGGTATTGTGATAAAGTTCAAGATAGCAGACCCCTTTGCTCGCTCCATTTTGAAAACAGTGTGGGCAACTGCTCAGCGTGTTTACTTGGATGCCACTCATGGCGCAGAGCATAGAGTTAGACTGAATAGATTGGCCCCTATGCACCGGGCCCATTGTCATGATACCCGATCTAGAATTTTCTTCAGTATCAGGATCAATACCGATAGCTGGTAAAACGTTAAAAAATTCTGCAACATAATTTGTTCAGTTTACACAGTTTTTTTTTCCACTGAAACAGATTTTTAATTTTTAACGATGTGACTATTAAAGACAGAACAAAAGTCTTCATTGTTACTCTGAAGAGTGTAACAAAACTTTGGTAATACAAGAGTTTCTCCACGGTTATGATGTGTGAAGTTTTTCTTTTTTCTTTAGTGACAGCATGAACTTGGTATGCAGATAAATGTTTTGAGACATGACAGCAGAGTTTGTCCAGGATGCAATGATGATGTATGCAATACCTGAGACATTCCTCGGCTGACATCGTCTGGCACTTTGAAGTAGCAGCAGAAATGCAGGAAGCTAGTTACTTTCTCTCTTCCTCTTCTCGCGGAGGAACTTGCTAAACTGCACTCCGCCAGGCACGTCCTCCAGGAATTTTACTGGGACACACTGTAACTTTCCTGCCACTTGATTGGCCTGGAAGTTGGAGGAATGTGGACTTCTGTTTGTATGAAATAATGGATGGTGTTTGGGATCTGCAGAGACCCATTTGTAGTTGCATAGTGCGGCAAGCTTCATCGTAAGAATGATAAAAAAAAGGGGGGGGAGAAGGAAAGAGTGTGTATGTGTGCGTGTTTGCGTGTGTGCAGGAATTTGTGTGTATTTGTGTTTGTGAGCGAGAGCTCCGTTGTGTTGGTCTGTAAAGCCCATGTCTGGCGATAACGCAGCTCTCTGATGGTGGAGATAGTCGAGACGCCAGCTTAAATGTGGCTTGCTGGATTGAAGTTGCCCTGTAATGATAGTTGTCTCAAACAACACGGAACATACCATTTGCAGCCCTGAAGGGGTGCTTTCTTCTCCCCCTTATTTTCTTTTACTTACTCCCAGCTATTCCAGAGCTATGGGTTGAAATTCGAGGAATCAAAACAAAGCATCTTGACAATGGTCAGTAGCTGAATTCTATCCTCTCCTCTTGTCCCTCTGTCACCCCCTCCCCCTGTTCTCTCTCCCCCTAAACCACCCGCTTCTTTCAGCACAGTGGAAGAGTCTAATAACTGGAGGGGAATCTAATCCTTGGCACTGGATGAAAGACGAGGGTCTCCCTCCCTCCTCTCTCTTTCTCACAGTCTCTTTCTCTCTTCATTTTTTCCGTGGATGCTGGTTATGCTTGGCAGGTTCTCTCCCTCTCTCCCTCTCATTTTCCCGCTCCCTTTTTCACCCAGTCTTCCCCTTTTTTACTCCTCTACTTCCCTTTCCCCCCAATCTTACCCTCTCTCTGTACAGGTTAAAAGTAACAAGAAAGCGAGTCAGGTGGAGAGAACTGAGTTCAGAGTAAAACTGGACTTTTGTGGAAACATCCTTGGTCAGTTTTGTTGCTGAAAAGTTCATTTAAAGATTAAACCCACACGAGGGTTTTTCTGTTTCTTACAGAGCCAAAGTTAGCAGCTTTGTCAGAACCAGAAGTAGAAAAAAAGGATTGAAATTATAAATAAATTACCTGTCTAGAGGTAAGAAAAAAAAAAAAACAGAAAACAGTCAAAACTAAGCAACATTGGCTCAAAGAGTCTAGTGTCAGACTGGTTTGCTGGGTGTGGGAAACATCAGCACCACCAACCTTCAATCTACCTTGCATCTACCTGTAGTTAGGGCTGGGCGATATGGGCTTAAAATAAAACTTCAGATTTCCTCCAAAAATTAAAACTACACATGAAAAACACATGATTCGCAACACTGTGGTCTGACACCGTAAAACTAAACCAGTCCTGAATGACTAAGAGACTCAGCCCATTTTTGGAACCAGCTTTCATTGTTGTCAGTGTTTGTCTCTGAAGGAAAGGAAGGCAACGATGGGAGTGGAAGTGGGGCAGCTGAGGAAGTTACAGAGAAATTCATTTTTGGATATCTTAAAAACCACAAATGCGATTTATTGATCAATTGATCTATCGTTCAGCCCTATATGTGATGGTGACACATTGCTCAGTTTAACCAGACACTACCTGCATACAACTTTATCTTCATTCTGTAGATCAAAACACTGCAAGATGTAATCGGTCATCTGTGCCTGTTTACATCTGGATAGTTGAGCATTATAGTGTTTTGGCAGTATACATTTACAAGAACTTAAGCTCTGGCTTAAGACGAGTGGTCATGCAACATCTTAGACCAACATATTAACAGCATTTTGAGTCTACAGTAATCCAAATATGATACTCTCACTCTGTGTGACTGACTAGTGATAACGGTGCGAAAAATAGCTGCTTAATTCTTTAATCCTGTCTAAAGTGAATCAGAATAATTACAGCACTAGTTTGGGCGCTCCCTCCCTGTGGACAAAGTGATTTATGTTCCCTCCTTGCTGGTATCTTCCTGCACAAATGTCTGTATTTATTTTAGTTTGTTATTGTTGAAAGAGCTAAAAGGAAACAGACTTTTAAACTTAGATGATCTCGAAACAGAATTTTCCATACATTAAATTTAAAGATCATCGTTCCACTTGCAGCACTGTGTTGTGTTATGTTTTACTTCTCTCCCTCCTTTTGCTCCGGCCATGAATTAAAAACAGCGGTGAAGTGTAGCTGGTGTTTGGAAGAGATTGGCACTAAAAGACAGTGATTCTGAAATGAAACAACAAAGGCTACTTATCTAATTGGTAAACAGAGCTGTTAAATGGTGGTTGGCTTAAATGCTTGCAGGACGCTGTAATTGCTGCCAGCCCTCACGTACAGATGCAGGCGTACACACATACACACGCAGTTTTCTCAACTTCCTCCACTCCAACACAAACACACTGATAACCTCCAGTCTGAACCCGTCTGTAGAAATTCCATTGAAGAAGTCGGTCGGCCACCAACTCCTTCCTCCCTCCCTCACCCACCGCTCCCCCTCATCATTCTAACACAAACTCATGATACCTTTTACTGGATGATAGCCAGACGGAGTGTGATGACACTGAAGACTGTGCCAGAAACATTACACACAGCATGCTGTACCACCCGCGCTGTCAAACACAAGGAAATCATGATTGAGTGACTTTTACATCATAGATATCAGTCAGACTTCAGAGGTCTGTGGCGTAGATGGTTCATGTCAAAGAATTCTTCAGGCTGGAGATGACTTTTTAAAGTTCTTTGGCCCCTTTCTTCTAATCCCCGTGATGATACAGTATACAGTAAAGCAATGGTGGAGCAGAGGAACACAGCTGGAATCTATCTGTTTCAATAAATGACTAAATTTTGAGGATTTGATTGTCAACTGATTGAAAGAACTTCTCTTCTTGTCCGCGTATACATGCAGCTGAGAAAATCGAATGATTGATCCTCCCCAAAACTAGGGGGCGATATGGGTCTTTTCAGCGGCGCTGTTTCCGGTTGACCCCATACAACTGTCAATAACAACAGCAGGTCCGTGCAAGACGTCAGAAGTGGCTACAACTGCTGCTGGGCATTTTCGAGCAAGAAGATGAAGCATCTTACAGCGTTGTTTTTGTTGTACATGATGTACATGCTACTAGATGAGGTGCACACTACTCATTCTCTGATGTATTTGTAACACTGGTTAAAAGGTAGAGAAAATCGAATTCCAATCGCATTATCTAGGTGTCCTAATCAGAGTTCTTTGACTCCAATCGGAGTTCTCAAACTCTGATTATAGTCAGACTAAGGTGTTTACATGCACTTCGGTTGTCCGGTCTTCATTGGAGTAAAGCAATAATCCGGTTTTCTCGAATGTCATGTAAACGTACTCAGTGCCACTCAAATTGCCTGCCTGAAGAAGCCCACAGATGTCACATGCATCCATGTTACCTGCATGAAATTTCAGTAATGTCACTCATTTGTTTCTGAAGAGGCATCACGAAGCCTAAAATGTCTGTCACTATATTGGAAATGTTGACTCAAACCAGCTTATAGTTGATTTAGGGACCAGCAAAGAGGTGGAGTTGAAGCTACAGCTTTACTTCCCAATATATGCAGAACTTAATATAACCAAATCAGATGAGTCCCACCCTCCAACCCTGTTTTTTTTTTTTTTTAATACAAAGCTGTGAACATGTTCATTTCTGCTGTGAAATGTGGATGTTTCAAAATGATTATGGGTTTTCTTGGCTGGCAGTTTATATCAGACATAAAGCAGTGTTCAGCTGTTAAGATGCGACTCCTCACAGTCTACAGTTTACTATGACAAAGCTGAAGCACAGCCGAGTTCTCTGTTGCAATCTCAAGTCAAACTTCTAATGATCGGTACATGACGCCAGCTGAAACATGAAAGTGTATTTGTAGCAGACTGTATTCTCCATGCATGATAGTTTATACTCTTGCATCAGATCTATATGCCATAGATCTGCAGAAACATTTGCATGTAGCCTGACGACATGCACCTTCTCAAAACATGTGATTAGTCCACTGGTTAGCATTGTAGTTCTTGCACATATACCGTATCAGCTGCACATTCCATCTCCACAGACGTCTCTTCTCTGTTTTTCTGTGCAGTAATTGCAGTATGATAAACTGCTGCTCAACTTTTATCACCCCCATCTCCAGCGTAATATGCACACAAACTCACAGCATCCCAGCAGCTGGTGGTCATGTAGGAGTAAGAATTTTACAGGTTACTTGTTTCTTGATAGAGTAAGTTAAAACAATGGATGAAAATATGATGAAACATTAAATCTGAAAAGGAGAAAGGAATATGAAAATCACAGTGCTGTCTCTGTAGAGTACATCAAAAGACAGAAACACACGCACCAAGCATCCATGACTTGATATCAAAGAGTTGGAAGTTGGAGCAGATCTGAAATTTATGGCACTTTCTTATGAATATGTCATGCATAAAAACAGGAACACGTTATACTCTTCATATCTGTGTGTGTGTGTGTGTGTGTGTGAATATGAATCTGTTCCATGAGCACCAGTTGTAAAACTTCAAAAGCCAGGAGTCCATGCCGTATTCTGCGCAGCATCAATCATGATGTGATAGAAATGAAAGTGTTCTCTGTCTAAAATGCCCCCAAAAAGTCCCAGTTTGTTTTATGTCTCAGGAATTAATTTGATCATGAGCTCATAAAGCCTCCCTGTGTTTCCCCAGACATGTTTGTGTTGCCTTATTACAGGGAAGAGCATGCCTTGTAAAAAGTGTGTTGATGTGAGTGTGTGAGGGAGTCAGAAAGAGATAGAGTGAGAGAAAAAAAGAGAAGGAGAGAGAGAGAGAGAGAGAGAGAGAGAGAGATCCTGCTAGCTGAGCAGCCTGCTCTCTTATTGGAGAGCTGTAAAAACTCCAGACCGCAGGAGTTGCCAGCCTGGAATTCACTAATGACACACGTGGGCCTCAGATGAGAAGTGCAATTTTGTGTGTGTGTGTGAGTGTGTATGTGTGTGTGAGTGTGTTACAGTCATACAGTTTGGATCAGAAGGTCCAATTTGTGTGTACATGCATTTGTGTGAGGCCCTATCTCATCATCTAGTGTGTGTGTGTGTTTATGTGCGTACAAACACTCACACAAATCTCCTCCACCTCCTCTTCTACCCCAGCCCCCTAAAACAAAAATGGCCGCTGTGCAAACATAACACACCTAGCCTAATCTCGGCGATAGTTTCACCCAAAAGCTGCTTGTTAATGGGAGCAGGGCCGCAGCCATCCCGGCCCCTGCTGGATGAAGAGGGGGTGCTGGGCGCTGGAAAATGAAAGGAATGGGGCCACGGGCACATGGGTCTTTAAATCCTCTGTGTCAATAGAGTCTCTGGAGCAAAATAATGGCATCACTCTGTGTGGGAGTTAATGTGAGCTGATAGCATGAGGGCTGGGGGGTCAAGGGTTCATGGGCTTGCGCTAGGTTGACAGAGAGCTGAATACTTTCCTCCCCCCTCCTGAACCCCCTCTCTCTGTTGCTCCCTACCTCTTCTTTACCTACGAACCTGAAGGAGTGTTGTGGAGGGAGATGATGAGGGATGTCAGGGGAGGAAGTGGCCTGTTTAGTGTTGGCAGTTTTAGCCCGCACCTCAACATATTCTCATGAGTGACAAGTTCAGGGGGGGGAAATGAGCAGGGAAACATGATAAATGCAGACATTGTCAAAGAGGGGATTACTGATTGGTGAGTTTCACTTCAAAAAACAAAAACAGTCACGTTAAAAACTGATCAAACCCATGATTCATCCATCAGGGAGCAAAAATAGTCCCAAAAAGTGAGTGCATGTGCTAAAGATAATGAGCAATTGCAGAAAAGGACAGAGAACTCTGTGGTATTTATCCCTGCAGGCTTGCTATTTATCTGTATGATATGCTACTTGCCAGTGGAATAAAAATAGTTTATTTCGTTGAAATCAAAATGATGAGAAACAGTTGTACTGCAGGAAGAAGAGAGATTGAATAGATGAGAGCAAATGTGAAGAGAGAAAAATACAGGTTCGACTTTGGGAGTAAAAGGGAGTGATGATCTAATGTCAGCCGACACCGGGACAACCTGAACGGTCAAGAGTCTGGGTGGAGGAGCCATCGCTTTGTCGCATGAAGTGTGGAGCCCCCAGCAGTTTGGGTGTGATCAGACGGAGAAATAGAAAACAGAGTTTGTGGTGAAAGGATGTGAAAGCAGAACCAAAAGGGGAGTAAACAGAAAAGGTGTGCCGAGAGTACATGTGGTGAGATTGAGACGTGTTTGAGGCAAGAGCCAGTGACTCAAACTTGATCGTACATGAACATAGTTAAAAATGTTCGAAATGTAAAGATACATCACATTCTCTGTCAGTATGTGAAAGAATAATATCAGTTTAATCCGTGTTTTCAGTTTTTCTGGGTTTTTTGTAGTTTTTGTAGGCATGCAACTGTCGACAACCTCGACAACCTCACACAGGAGGTCCGTCTGTTTTCTAACAATAGTTTTCACATCAAAACTAAAGCTGTGAGCCAGAATCTTTACAAGACTTTGTTATAGAATTTCATCTGGAGGTTTGCAAGTTTAACATTACACTGACTTATGCCCATCCAGCAGTCAAAGACCCACTTCTGTCTTTGTCATGCAAAATTAAAAATAATAGCCTTTTACAATGTGCTATTTTTATAAGCAGTTAATGTTTTGAGGAACATGTGTGTTTTCACTCTGCAAAAATTCTGATCAAAAATAAGAGAGACCGCTGTGGACACGTAAACGCTCTGTTTGTAGACTGTTCGTTTCTCTGCTGCTGCTGCTGATGTGCTCTTGCGTGCAGCACTCCCTTTTTAACGTCTGTATTTGTTATCGTTGAAGTTTTTTGCAAATTATGAGGTGACCTACATTGTTTTGCAAAGCAGTCGGTGGAGTTGTGTAGAGTAGCGTAAAAGTGATGCATTCAACCATGACACATCTCTCCACAACAGAAGGATTGATAGTAAAATATAGAGTAGATAGAAATATTGATTCATGGTTCTGGTCCTTGTGTTTTTATTGGATTGCTACCAAACTCTGGTGTAATGTCTGCCTGTAGTGCAAACAGAGCAAGAATGAACATCCAAACATTTGGCTCCTACTCTCAGAAAGACTTCCTCTCCCATCCTCCCTTCCTCCTCCCCCCTTAACACAACATCATTCTCCTCCCTTCAAGGGGAATTACTGTCGTAAAAATTAGTGCACTTACCAATGCAAACACTAATTCCTCCACCTCTCTTCCTCTCTTCTTCTCATCAGACACTGGTACCTCCCTCGGCTCCTCCACCTCCGGCGGACATCGCTCTCACTGGTGCAGCGTCGCCTACTGGGAGCAGCGCACACGCGTGGGTCGCCTGTATCCCGCCTACGAGCCCTCGCTCAACATCTTCTATGACCTACCTCAGGGCACAGGCCTCTGCCTGGGCCAACTCCACGCCAACGCCTATCACAGCCGCCGTGAGGACCCGGGCAGCCACGGCACATCCAGTCTTTATGGACACCCCAGCCACGGAAGTGGAGGGAATAACAGCAACAGCAGCAGCAGTGTACAACAGATACGCAGTAAAATCGGCCACGGCATTGTGCTGAGCCAGGAGCCAGACGGAGTGTGGGTGTACAATCGCAGCCTGCACCCAGTGTTTGTCCACTCGCCCACTCTGGACCCACCCAGCGCTCGAGGACTGAGCGTCAGGAGGGTGATGCCAGGTTTCTCCCTCAAGGTGTTTGACTATGAACGCTCCAGCTGGATGGCCTCACACGGCATGAAGCCTGAGAGCCAGGAGGGGCCCTGGGACCCCCACAGTGTTCGCATCAGTTTTGCTAAAGGATGGGGCCCCAGCTACTCCAGACAGTTCATCACCTCCTGTCCATGCTGGCTGGAGGTGCTGCTCAACAACCACAGATAGCACACACACTTACACACACTGACACACACATACGCTCACTCACTCAGACACACACATACACACTCACAGACTCCTTACCCAGTATCCTTATTGTAATCTACCTAGATTTAATATAAGATTTATATATTATATAAAATATATTATACATGTAAATACTTGAGTCATTTTTACAATGCAATTATTTATGTATAGTGTAATGTGTATATGGACAAAATAAAAAAGGAACAAGAATATGCACTTTTCATTCTGTATATGCATTACAGTTTCTCAGTGTCATTTTGCAAATGCAAACTGTAAACATAAGACAAACCTGGTTCATGTTCACATGAGTTAGCAATTCCATCAGAAATATGCCATATACACATTGTCAATAAAGTATTTGTATTAAATGAAGCTTTCTGTGGTGGCCTCATGTGCTTCCTGAGCTATAAATTCATGTTTTTGAACCTGTGGACCAATCCAGGATACCTGTTCTCATCTGGTCTGAGTGTAAAACTGAGCCAAACTAACCACTGATGGCTGCAGATTTAATGTCTAGCCATTATAATTTTGATGAATTAAGATAAAAATGTGATTGTACTAAAAATTTACTAAAAAAATAATCATATTTATTGTGGTTGACCTTTTAAGTAAGATGACTCTTAATGATGTGGCTTCTTGCGCGTTCAGGACTGGAAGCAGTTCTTTCAGGATTTTGACTAAAATACAAGCTGAAAAAACACAAAAACGAACATCCTGGATAAACAAGGAGTTAAATGTCTATCGTAATTCCTCCTGTCAGTTTGATTCTTGGCTGTGACAAAGTAATCTTGGGTCAAGTGTCTGACTTTTCCAGCTCTCTAGAGCTTGAGCTTCATCTCGGGGTCTGCAGGCTAATGGTGTGTGAAACTCTGGTCAAGTCATAACAGGTGTTGGCGTATGAAGACAAGATCATCAACCATGGCCTCTTCTTTTTGATGTGGATTGGGTCCTTGATCTTTGTCCTGTTGTCCACTGACTCCTGTTGTTTTTTTAAAGTTAGTTACTGCAAACATTTTTGATTTTTACCCCATAAGCAAAGCAGTCAAACTAAACTACACTGGAGCGAACTAGCAGATCTATGAAAATGACTATTATTTTTTTCTCTACATGTTTTGAACTCCAGACAAAAGATTGTTCAAAATTAGGAGAGAAAAAAAATGAGTAAACATGGGGACAACCGAAGTCACACCTAATTATCTACTTTTCACTAATGTGCCTGTAACAGGGACATCTTTATAGCGAACACCTAGTTTCCTCTCCTCTCTCAGTTTCTGTGTGAAGAGGTAGTCTCCATGTAATAGAGAACGGTCAGTTACAGTTCTAGCCTTCGTTCTCTGTTTAAAGGAAGTACAGTATATCTACAAATCAAGGTGGCTTAGAAATCTACTTCAATTAGTTCTATCCAGTAAGTTTAATTGTATTCAGGAATAAACTCTCTGTACATGGGCCAGTCCATGGGTTGGCCAGGGTGGTACTTACTCCTCACTAAAACCCGATTGGCCGCCCAGAGAGCCACACTAAAATCCAAATCAATTCAATCACAATTGGCTCTTTTCCTTGTCAGAGTTGGAACAGAGTTGGCCAAAATTTACGATTAGGGTTAATTTAACAGTGTGGTTGTAGATTTTTTTTGTAAATTTAACACATTCATTCTTAGTTTGTGCCTTTAATTGGGATCTTGGACGAATGTCTTATGAATATCTCAAGGGGTAAGACTCATGTGTGTCATTTTATAGTGTTTCAATGCAAACTGTACCCAAAAATGATAAACTTTTTACTTTCATCTTTGCTATCTGTGCAACCTGACTTCTGATGACAACATAGGTGGCCTGTGGACTGACCTGTATGACATGATAGCTGTTAAAGTAAATAGCAAAGACAGAGAGGGGTTACTATTAATTCAGATGTGTGAGCATACATACCTCGGCCACCCCTGCCTCTGTTACTGCCCCACTTGGGCCACCCCAGCCAAAAAAGTCTGGACATACTCCTGGGGGCACCTGGTGTTGAGCCTAACAGAAAAATCTCTGTCATGTGTCCTGTGGGGTCAGTCATCATACATATTTACAGGCAGAGAGATACTCTCATCATTGAGAAAACCAAGTTAAAAAAAGCTGACCATCCCCAAGTGCAGCTTTATTTCTAAAAGTACATGTACACAAACCCATTATATCTCTAAGCAGAAAGTACATGGAATGATGTAAACAGAGAAGCATGTTTAATGCAAGTACAGTATGGCCTGAAAACATGCCATGCTGTACATCTTGTGTTGCAGTTGTACAGATAAAAGATAAGACATAAATGATTTTATAAATGAGGCCTTCTGGTTCATGTGATAAGACCAACAAATAATTCTTTCTGTTGAAGATGAACATGAAAGGAATTGAAAAGCCCCTTAAGTTGGTAAAAGGACCTTGGAGCTCTGATTTGTTGTTTGCAGTCTCGCCACAGGTCAAAAACGAACTTTCATCTTCAATGTTTTCTTGTTAATGTGTTAAAGTAAAGTTTCATCACCATCAATTTCAGTGAAAATCTGCGCAAGTGTTGTAAATCATGGTGAAGTTTTAACTATCTGCCTGGCATTATTAAAAAGGGACCAGTGGCAATGGAAAACAGCGAAAGGCGTCACAGTGCCAGTGGTAAGAAAATAAAGTGCATAACTGAGAGATTACACAACAAACCACAGCAGGGCACTCAGGCCCAAACTGGCTCTGGAAGGAGAAAGTTCTGCAGCATAATGGCATCCTGTTTGACTCTTTCAGCAACACAATTATTTATGGAAACTCATATTTGGGTAAGAGGTTGGAAGGGAAAACAATGAGATGAAAAAGCAAAGTAAGCAGTTGGAGAACCTTTCTAGAGATGTGTGTTTTTAAGAAAAGCAGCAGAACAACTGGCGGAGCGCAGGCAGTCAGGCATTTTTGTTTTGACCCTGAACCTCTGCAGGCTGCTCGCTGAAACCTGTAATTAACTTTAGCTGTAAAAGTAAAGACGGGCTGATTACAAAGTCACAGCAATGTGGAGGGAAAAATGGTGCACTGGTGCGTTCAAAAACTCTCCAGTGTCACAGTATGTTGCAGTCTCAGCTTCACAAAGATCAATAAATGCAGTATCAAACACTTTTGGATGCAGAAGAACAGTCACATTTCTGCATTGAAAGCACAGAATCTTAGTTTTAAGCTTTCTTTGTGTTTATAACAACAAACATCTGAATAAAAACCTTTAATAAAAGCTCTGGGCATTCCCATGTAACCCTTCAAAAATTCCAATGTATATTTCAGTCCAGTCCGCGCTCTGCTTTTCCAGGCAAAGTGTGGGATTTGTGGTCAGGATACAATGGAAGGATTCAGAGGAGGGATTTGGGTGGGAGAGTTGCTTCTGGCAGGCTTAGTCCAAAAAACGTACAATGTTTCTCCTCCATCTCTTTTTTGGTTTTCTCATCTGAAACACCCCGGCCTTGTCTCCTGTCTTAATTGTTTTCCTTTGTCAGGGTTCAGAGTCATGGAGACGCTGAAATGGATCCTGGGCAGAGAGCAGTGGAGGAGGTTTTTGGCCCTCGTCTTCATGGCTGCGGTGTGTGCTGACCTCACTGTGAACTGAAGGAAAATGGGCTAATTCTGCCGCTGGCTCCTGAGCTCCACCCCTTCACTATATAATTATCCCTGTCCAGATTATGATGCTATAATCATGTTAATGAATACATCAGGGATGGGTAATTAATGGATCACATTTCTGTTTTTGCTACAAACGAGATGATGGATCGCTGTATGGACCACACCAGTTTGTTTACAAGTTTTCACAAATCATAGCTCTTTAAAATCTTGGTAATTTTCAAATGCATGATTCAGAGTGGAGGGTTCCCAACCTGTGGGTTCAGACAAACATTTAAGTAATCCCAGAACCATGAATTTATCTCTATTGGTAAACTCTATTGGCATATCCCACTTGAAGAGTTTACAGCAGAAATAAGGAAGACTAAGTGCTTCCATGGGGCTTCATCAGAGACAAATCCTCCTTTTTCTCTGAAAAAAAAGCTTCTACGGGACCTCATTTAGAGATTAATGTCAGTTAACTGTTAAAATGATAGTGTAGCATGTAGATCAAACTAAACCTTACTGGCAAACATGTAATGGGAGTCACAAAGAGAGGTGGCTTCCCTTTTAAGAGGTCAAAGGTAAATTTCTTAGATTTTTTATATACACTTTAAGCAATCGGTGCATGCCATTTATTACATTTCTATCTGTTTAGTTTGAAAATTTGTGGTCAAATCCATGAAACATAAGCGATATTGTTCACAGTAGTTCATTTAAAGGTACACTGTGCAATATATAAGTTTCTGATACAAATGTGATAAACAGAGGATCACACTGACCAACTATCATGAGTTTGTCCTTGAAGGCCACCATCCCTTCTCCAGTGGGAGGAGTGAGGAAGAGAGTGTCTCCATTTATAATCGAACAACTAGATAACTGTAAATATCCCCATTTCTACACATGGCACCTTTAAAGTTTGAATCAGTTTTGTCAAAAATTGTTTTTTATTGTGAGGTGAGGAAATTACAGATTCATCAAACTGTTTAAATATAACAAGAGATGTCACAATAACATTCAAAAAAAGCAATGAATTGGAGGTGAAAGTGCTATATGTGCATCAAGTAGCTGCAGAAAAATATCAGACAATTTTTCTGAAAAGAGTCAAAATGTCAAAGTCAAAGTTGGCCTTAAGAATTTTTTTCAGTCCTTTTGATACTTGAAATTCACATTAAAGCAGATTTTACCTCATTAAATTGACTGTAAAGAACTTTTGGTTCGTGTAAGTTTTGGCATCCCATGTGGACAAAGTAGTCTTTCCTCAGCTTGTTCTCGTCATAGTTTTGTACTGTTCTCTTTAATATTCTCATCCTGCAGACTTCTGGCTGTCAAATTAATAATTTATTGAATATTTTTTCTGGAAACCTTAAATCGGGGCTGTGGCTTAAGCTGCTCTGCTGACACCTACCCCCTTACACTGATTACAGGCATTAAGAATCATTGTTTATTGTTTAAACAATGATTCTTAATGCCTGTAATCATCATATATAAATCATCAATCTTGTCCCTGATGGTCTCGTTACAGTTTAAACATCATGAGAAAGCATCAATATGAATTCGAATCTTTTTCAAAGGTGTAAAAAAGAAACTCTGCATAGGAGCTGTAATGTAGCACAAGGCTGATGCTACCACACTGATTTAAAAAAACTCATTCAGCGGCGATGTGACAGCAACGTGGAGAACACGAGTCTATCATTGATGAAAGTAAAATACTGGGCAAAAGTTAACCCAAATAGCTGATCATTGTGCAGCAGGCAGAGGATCTACAAAGTTTTGCATCCC